GAGTTTTATTTTTACATGCAGTTGTTCTAATGTATTAGTTCATGCTAATTTATTTTCCAAGGTGGTTGATTGAACCAATTTACATTCTCATCTGCAGTGCATGAGGGTTTCACTTTATTTGCCAACAAGTGGTGCTGGACCTCTTATTTTTCCCCATTTAGTTGATGTGAAAATATATCTCATTGTGTTTTTTTTTAAATTAAACTTTTAATCTGGAGATAATTGTAGATTCACATGCAGTTGTAAGAAATAATACAAAGGATCCATGACTCTTTACCAAATTTCCCTCAATGACAACATCTAGCAAAGCTATAGTAAAATATCACACCAGGAGGATGGTGTGGAGGCAAGGCCAGATCTGGTTCTGATTTCCCACCACCTGTACTCGCATGTGGGTGCACGGGAGTGTTAGTTCGAGTAGTTTTATCACACGTGTAGGTTTGTGCCTACATCACTAAGCTGAGAAGAACAGCCCCATCCCCACAGGACCCCATCTGCTGTCTTTATAACCATACCCACTTCCCCTCCATCCTTCAGCTCTGGCAACCACTAATTTCTTCTCTATTTCTATAATTTTTGTCATTTCAAGAATGTTATATGAATGGAATCATACAGTATATAACCATTGAGACTATTTTCCTCAGCATATTTCTCTGGAATTCATCTAAGTTGTATGTGTCTATAGTTCATTCTTTTTAATTGCTAAGTAGCATTTTATTTAGTACCTGGTTTGCTTAATCATTATTGAAGATAATTTGTTTTGCTTCCAGTTTTTGACTAATACAAATAGAGCTGCTACAAACATTCATGTATAGGTTTCTATGTAAACACTAGAGGCTCAGTGCATAAATTTGTGCACAGGTGGGGTCCTGCCGGCCTGACCCCAATCAGCGAATTGGGTCCGGGCCTGTTGGGAGGAGGAGATGGTGGGAGGATGGCCAGCCAGCCTGCCCCAATCGTGGCCAATCAGGGCTGGGCTGCCTGTGGGGGGGCGCTGATCAGGGGTCAGCGGCTGGGGGAGGGGCTATGGATGGTTGGCCAGCTGGCCCTGCCTCTGATTGGAGTGGGGGGTGCCGATCAGTGGCAGAGCTGACTAGGGGCAGAGGCGGCCGGCCGACTGGGGTGATGGGGGCCCATCGGGGGTGGGGCCAGCTGGGGGAGGGGCTGCAGGTGGTTGGCTGGCCAGCCCTGCCCTTGATCAGGGTGGGGGGGCTAATCTGGAGTGGGGCTAGGTGAGGGGAGGGGCTGCAGGAGGTTGGCTGGCTGGTCCCACCCCCTATTGGGATGGGGTGGCAATCAGGGGCGGGGTGGGATGGGCCCTTTAATGCAGTTCCTCATGTTGTGGTGACCCCCAACCATAAAATTATTTTCGTTGCTACTTCATAACTGTAATTTTGCTACTGTTATGAATCATAATGTAAATATCTGATATGCAGGATGTATTTTCATTGTTACAAATTGAACATAATTAAAGCATAGTGATTAATCACAAAAACAATATGTAATTATATATGTGTTTTCTGATGGTCTTAGGCAACCCCTGTGAAAGGGTCATTTGACCCCCAAAGGGGTCGCGACCCACAGGTTGAGAACCGCTGCTTTAGGGTAAATGCACAAAGTGCGATTGCTGGATTGAATGCTAATTGCATGCTGAGTTTTGTAAGGAACTGCCACAATTCTGTGCAGGTAGCGTGCCATGGCATGTTCTCATCAGCCAGGCCTGAGGGCCCAGCGTCTCGGCATCCTCCCCTCACGTGGTGTCTCAGTTCTTTCTGTTGGTCATTCTGGTAGGTGCGTGGGGGCATCTTGTCATTCTCTAATGGCTAGTAGTCTTCAACATCTTTTCTCACACTTTTTTATAATTTGCATACTCTCTTTGATGGAATATCTGTTCATGTCCTTTGCCCATTTCCTAAATGGATTGTTTGTTTTATTATTGATGAGTTTTGAGAGTTTTTAATGTATTCCATTTATGTGTACTTTGTCAGGTATGGGGTTTTCAAATATTTTCTCCCAGTCTATAGCTTTTAACAGTTTCTTTCTCAGAGCAAAAGTTTTTAATTTTGATAAGGTCCAATTTGTCATTTTTTTCTTTTAGAAAGTGTGCTTTCTGTGTCATTTAAGAACAGTTTGCCTAGTCCTAGATCCTGAATTGAGATAATGCTCTGGAGAATGGCGGGTTACATCTGTATTTATACAAAGCAATCAAAGGAAAGGGACGGACGTGGGTTACATGAAATTCATTGGTGATAGGTTAAGGAGGTGGGATAAAGCAAAGCAGGGAAACCTCTGGGATAGGGTAAAAAGTGAAATGATGGACTTGTGCTTCTCTTACACAGATGGGTACAGGATAGTTTTACATAATTAACAGTTGACAATTAACTTGATAACAGTAACAATGAAGGAATTTGTGGTCTACCCTGGTGCCATTTGTTGTGCCCTGAGGGGTCCAGAAAAAAGGGAAGTTATAAGTTACCCAGTCATTTCACCAATATGTTATCTGAGAGGCAAAAAGACAAATGGGCTCAGTAAAGATCTAAGTTGATCTTTGTCAGGGAAAATACTGGCCTAGGACATACTACCCACCATAACCTGTTTGTAGTTAAATATTTAATTTTCAGACCATCTTTTGTGGTTATTTTAGGTTTCTGAGTTTGTACAACTGCCATGTAGGCCTTCCCTGAACTAGTCAGGTTAGCATATGGCCCCTTTCGTCTACAAGCTCTTCCCTTGTGTCCAATAAACACACATGCACACACACACGCATGCATGCAAACAGGCCCCCGCCGAAATACAGCTGTGCGATGATGGGAGGGAAGCCTAGAGCGAGAGGATTCCTTCTGTAGGAACGAAGACCGGTTCCGCTCTCCTGTAGAGCTCCCCTATCCCCCCACTGCCCCTGCCTAATTAGTTGCTTTTCCACAATCACCTCTCTCTGCTCAACCCAGCATGGGAAGAATTGAGGCAGTAAGAGGATGTAGTATGCTTTGATATTCTGGAGCCACACACCTCCGACCCAGGACAGTGCTGTTTTAATTCTTCGAGGATTAGCGAGGGTTGGCAATGGGCTAACGAGTCCATCCACCCATTTTGGAGATGTGTCTTTCTAGCTGAGCATGTTTTTCTCTGAGGCTCTGCAGCCATTACAGAGAGATCTAGTTTGCAGGGCGCCTAGAGCTGAGGAGGGTCATTTCTGAGAGTCCTAAGGGCTCACATGTATGGAAAAGACACATGGATCTGAGAAGGCCTCATTCTCCATTCACTCCCCTGGGATGGCACCTCCCTCCAGCAGAGCAGCCTGGAGCTTCCCTGCGAGTCTGCACCTTTCCAAACACGGCCTCGCTATTCCTTCTAGTGGCTTCCTCTCTTCAGGCAGGTGCTGGTGACCATTAGAAACAGGACCATCAGGCGGTGCTGGAACCAAATCCAACCTTGCACGTGGTGGCTGGAGAGGAAGAGACCTGGCTCCTGTATCCCAGGCAAGCGGGGGTCCAGTTTCCCAGAGAAGGGAGCCAGCGAGGGGTGCACCTGGCAGAGGCCGCTCTCTGCAGCAGCTCATGCCCAGCCCAGAGGGGCGCCATTCGCATGCTCATTTGTGCAATCATCCATTCATTCACTTAGCCCGTGAGTGGGAATTTTCTTATTGATTTATTTCTCACTCACCGAGAGCCTATTAGCCAGCCAGCCTCTGACGAGCAGGTATGGGCGTAGCTCTGCCAGAGGGGGACATCTGATCGCTCTTGTCCCTGGCTGCAGAGCAGCTCCTGGGGACCCCTGTGAGGGTAAGGGGGTGTGTTTAGGACATCGGAGTGGCGGGTGTGGGGTGCGGGGTGGTGGATGTGAAGCTTCCCAAACAAACACATTTCCAGGTGCTGCTTCTTGATCAGCCCGAGAATGACAGTGATTAGGAACTGCAACCCCCGGCCCCCTCCCTCCCCCTCCCCCCGGAGCTGCACTGGCAGGGCAAGCTGTCTGGGACCCATGGCCCCGGGCAAGTTAGAAGAAAGGCATTGCAGTTTTTCTGGGCATGGTGGCTGGGGAGAGTGGTGGCCTCTTCCACCACTTGGGCATGCGGGCATCACCAGGGACAGGAGGCGGGGCAGCCCCTGCGGGATGCTGTGCAGCTTGTGGCCCATCAGGAGCTGGAACCCACACACTCCTGGTCTAAACAGGGAAGGGTAATGCCAAGAATGATTCAACTCCACTAGAACAGTCTCTGTAAGGTATGAGGAAACCCTACACAGCCCCCTAGGGCTGAGGGCAGTCCCAGTGGGGGAGACACTTTGGGGGAAGTCTGCTTGCCAGGCTGGGACCTGGGTCTGTGCTGCTGTGCCGGGGATAGTTGGCCTGCAGTCACTGGACAGGCGGGGCACAGACCATAGCCAATCGGCCTCTGGGTGGCGGCGGGTGCAGGCGAGCTGCAGCTCCGGAACTGTTGCGGGTGGGAGGCCTGGAGCCGCAGCGTCTGTGTGACTACTTGGCAAGGCCGGCCAGGAGGTGGCAGAGGGACCGGTGTCCTGGGTGATGTTGGTGCAAAGCATCACCAGGTGTCCTCTCACACACACCTCTGACCCTGAGAAACAGCAGTGTCTCTCCAGCGCCCTCTACCGAGAAAGCTGCATGTTGCACTCGCTGTAAAGGTGAGATGCTTAAGGGACCCAGCAGGCACTGAAAGATGGATTTGTAGTTAAGAGACAAATGGACAACTAGGACAAGCATTGAATCCCCACTCAAAGGTTTGGGGGCTGCAGGCCCGTAGTGGATCATACCCCACAGGCACGATCACACATGCACAGTCCGGGAGAAGGGTGCCAGCACAGGGAGATGAAGGGAGGCTGTGCACCTGCATCTAAAGCTCCATCATCTCCCCGAGTCCTCCTCACTCCCTCCTCCCTGCCCTGAAGGTCTGACGCAGGGCTCTGGGACCCCAGAACACCAGCTGCCTGGCCCCTGGCCTGGCTCCGGGGAAGTCAGGCTTGCCCTCGAGACACTTGGCCACGATGGATTTGGAGGCAGGTTAGTTTCCTGACCACAGCGGTCGGCACCTCTGTAGCACATGCTATGTGCATGCACGCATCCTGGTCGCATTTGCTCCATTCCGTGTTTGCCGGGGCCAGCCCTCAGCCCATCCCAGCGGGGCTGCTGGAAGGCCTCCCCCCGGGCACTCCCCCGCTGGCCAGCCAGGCAGTGGCCTGGTCTCTACACCCTGCTCTGCCTGGCTTTCAGGCTCCGCAGACTACGTGGTCTGCCCCTGGCTGACCTTGCTTTCTGGGTTTGGAAGTCTTCTTTCCTTGGCCATGCATCTCACATAGAGGCCGCTCCTTTCAAGGCCCCTGAACTGCTACAGCGACAGAGCAACAGCGAGCAGCCTGATGTCCCTCAGGTAAGGCACATGGCGTCTCCTCTGGGGGAGGCCGGGCCCTGGTCATCCCCAGCTCCCAGCTCCCAGCTCAGCTGGAGGAACTCAGAGGCAGAATGTGTTTAAAGAGTGTTATCCCCAGGCTTTCCTGCCATCAGTTTATTAGCTCTTAGATGAGAATAAGTCAACATCTCTGTGTCCCGATGTCTATATTTGTAAAGTGGGGTTGATGTGACTGAATCCATTCATTTATTACGAATGTTCAAGAAGTGCTGCGCAAGCTGTGGGTGACCGGTCTGCACACTGGAGCCACTGCAGCATGTAGCAAACCCTAAGAAGGACCCAGCAAGTCATCAAGGCGGAGCTTATCTAGAGCATGAGTAAAAATTGATTTAGCTGTAAGGTTTATTTTGTACTAGAGGTCCAGTGCAAGAAATTCATGCACTCGGGGGGTGGGGGTGTGTCCCTCAGCCTGGCCTGTGCTCTCTTGCAGTCCAGGAGCCCTTGGGGGATGTCCGACTGATGGCTTAGGCCTGCAGGGAGCGGGCCTAAGCTGTCAGTCGGACATCCTTAGTGCTGCCGCAGAAGTGGGAGAGGTTCCCGCCACCACTGCTATGCTTGCCAGCTGTGAGCCAGCTTCTGGCTGAGTGGTGCTCCCCTTGTGGGAGCGCTGACTACCAGGGGGCAGCTCCTGCATTGAGCATCTGCTCCCTGGTGGTCAGTGCGTATCATAGCAACCAGTTGTTCCACCATTGGGCTGTGATGACCTTTGTCTTGCCCTGGATGCATTTCTGCTGCTGAACAACCAGAAGCTCTCGCAGACATCAGTTTTGATTTAAAAAAGAAGAAAATCCGAGGAGAGCATGATGTGAGGCAGGTGCACAGCACTGAGCAGGGCACAGTGGGTGTTGAATTGAGGGTTTTGTCCTTTTGTCCTGTCCTTTTGTGGGAAAAGGCAGATCTAGATTCTGCTCTTCGTAGGTGCATTCTGAGGGAGGTGCATTCTGGGATCAGAGAATCAGGCCTTGATGCCTCCCAGGGCTGGCGTGTCTGGGCCCACGTGTCTCCAGGTGAGGTCACACAGTGAAAGCATCAGAGTCCCATTGGCAGTGGCCCTGGCTCTGTCACCCACAGGCAGTGCCCATATTCCATGTCCCTACACCCTTTCCTGTACTGCCAGGATCCCTTGGGTGAGTGCCTGGACTCCTGTGTCTATCACAGACGTGGGTGCCTCCCAGGTTCCCTCTATTGGGTCTCCTGGGAGGTGCTCCACCCACAGCATGCTACCACCTACCCTCCGGACTCCGCTAAGAGGCTGCATCCTGAGCCGCAGAGCTGGTCTCAGCGGCCACTGCAGGGCCTGCTGATGAAGCCTGAACAAGCACGGAGCTAGTTTTCCACAGGTGAACCTTCACCTACAGAAAGTGAGAGGCGGAGTGGGCTGCAAAGGGGCACGCTCCTTCCTGCTGCCCTGCTGGACCGCTCTGAGATGGGCAGGTCGTGCGGGCCTCCCAGAGGAGTCCTGAGTGCCAGGTGGCTGGCGGGATCGCCCTGCACCTCACATCAGTCTTTGTCTTCCTTTCCCTTTTCTTCTCTTTGCCCCGGGTTTACCGCTCCTGAGGGAAATGTCAGCATTTCATCCCTGTCTCAGGCTCTGCTTTCTACAGCACCTGAGCTAAGACCGATCCTGAGTGCTCCTGGGCCTTCCCTGACGAGGAATAGACAGGACCCCCTGACTGAGTGACTTGTGAAGTCTAGTCACTGCTCAGAGCCTCTTGGAGCTGAGCTGAGCTGGAGAAGAGCTGCCCGCTCCCTCCTGCACATGCTCCTCCGGGCAGGGGGCGAGGGCTCCAAGAGTGCCCTTGCTACAGGAGGAGGCCGAGCTAAGACTGGGCCAGCGCTGAGAGTCAGGCCAGGAAGATGGGGTGTGCTTGAACTGGGGGAGGGTCAGTGTGGGAGGATAGAGTCCTGAATGAACCAAACAGCAATTCTGGTTGGTGGTTTAACTCTCTGGGCTTATGAAACACAGCACATGGTAATGTGGCTTACGGTGGCAGAAGCCACCAGCCCCAAACCCTGTTTATTAGGCCAAGAGGCAGGGTTACTTGGTCATCTTCTCTCACAGCTTCCCTACCAGTCAGCTCTGTTAATTGCTGTTCTCCTCCATTCACCTCAGGTTCCTCTCTTCACCCAACTTACCTTGGGTCCTGTGTGTGCGTGGAGGGCAGGGTGGGGGGTGGGCAATGAGGACGGTGGTCCCAGGAGATGCTGTGCCCAGAATCCTCCCCAGTCCTGGGCCCCATTCTGAGGTTGGGAGGATGTACCCTGCCTCCTTCTCTCAGCTCTAACCAGCACATTCCCTCACTGCTTGGAGCATTAGTCCCAGGTGCAGGAAGAAGGTGTGGGCAGGTGTCTAACTATAAGTCACTCATGCCACCCTCACCCCATCCCATGCTCATGGCAGACATCACTAGCTGACTATGGTGCCCTTCCCCAGGACCCAGGACCCTTCAGATCCTCTCCCACCTGCTTTAGGTGGGGTCTACCTGAGGGCTGGGTTTGGGTTTGGGATGAAGTCAGTTGTCATTTGGCCCTCGGCCTTGCCTGGGAAGCTTTAGGCCAGAGCCCCTGGAACCCCAGTGAGGCACCGAGGTGGGCGGTGCCAGACGCTGCTCTGGCATCTGTGCTCAGGATCATTTCTCTGGAAATGAGGTGCAGCTTGTGAGCTTCCTGGCAGGTGCTAGTCACACTCATCGGGGGTGTTGGCTGGTGTAAGGGTTTTAAACAAAGTACAGAGCTAATCGGCACATGTGACACTGGACACATGCCCTTAACCTAGAGGTACCCAAACCCATGCCAAACCCATTTGTATTTAACTCAGTGGATTGGTCAAGTAACCACGCATTTTACACACCAAGTTTTGTTAATTCAATGTCTCCCTTCCCAGGTCCCAAAAATCACTTCCTTAAAAGAGAGATCTTAGGGGGAATATGCTTTGTCAGTTATACTAGAATCCCAATGATAATAATAATAATAATAATAATAATAATAATTATTGAAGACTTAGTATGATCCAGAAGTGACAAGTCGAGTGGCTCAGGACAGGGATTCTGGTCATTGGCTTTAAGTCCAGGCTTTAGGTCTTACTTGGGCAAGTCCCCTAACTTGCTTTGCTTTAGTTTCCTTCTGTACAAAACGGGGACAATTAAAATACTTACCTCACAGGATTGTGGTGAGAACTAAATACGTCGATGTAAATAAAAGACTTAGAGCAAGTGCTCTCTGCCCAACAAGAACAATAATTATTATTGCCGTCTCCAGGTACTCTTACTGCTCAGGAGTCCCGGGCAGAATAATCACTTTAAAGACGAGGACACTGAGGCCCAGAGGAGTCAGGCGATGCTTTTCACTGAACCACGCTGCTTCTGACAACAAGTGATGCTTTGAAATCAGGCTGAGTCCAGTGTGTCCTGTACACATGGCGTTGGCTACAAGAAACAGTGGCTGAAGCTCAGATATGGGTGTTTACTTAAGGAGACGCCTGGGGATGGGTCAGCAGCTCAGTATGTCTTCAGGAGCCCAGGCTGTGTGTTTCCACTCTATTCTCTGGCTCTCTGTTCTGCTTGTTGCCTCGTGGTCATAAGACGAGGGCGGTGAGTCCATGTATGACACCATCTTCAAGGCAGGGACGTGGAGGAAAGAGTGGGACCAGTCGCTGGTGTTCTATTGTCAGTAAAGCAGAAGGTTTCTCAGAAGCTCTCTAGACTTGCCTTTGTCTTTTGTGAGAATTGGGTGTCATGGTCACTATGGCGTTTAGCCACTAGAGCCGGAGCCCACATTTTAAGAGAGTTGCAGATGGTTGTTGTTTACCCAGTGGAGGTGGAGTTGTTTTTATTGACCTGTAACATGCTGTCTAAGTAAACCAGTGAGCTTGCTCGGGGGGTTCACCTGGGCTTCTCCCACTGCCCGCTCCCGGTCAGGTGCTGGCCTAGGACCCTCCCATTCAGACATTTGAGAGCCGTTTAGCTAAGTCACTCAAAAGTGACCAGTCTGGGGTCTGGACATAAACCCACGTGGGAGGGTTTGCCAGCCAAGCTGTAGCCGGGTGTAGCCGGGACCTGGCAGTGACCCTCAGGGAAGGGTGAGTGGCCGTGGGAGTCCGATTCGGCTGCAAAGATATGCAAAGATATAGGCACCGGGGCCCAGATGAGGTTGCTTGAGTTTTTTTAGTTTTTGGCACTTCTATATTTCTTTACCAAGGCCTGGTACTTTTTATTATCAAGAGCCTCTTGTGCCCCCTCCCCTGTGTGGGTAGGAAACGTGGTGACAATGCCAGTGATGGTGAACCTATGACACGTGTGTCAGAGGTGACATGTGAACTCATTTTTTTGGTTGATTTTTCTTTGTTAAATGGCATTTAAATATATAAAATAAATATCAAAAATATAAGTCTTTGTTTTACTATGGTTGCAAATATCAAAAAATTTCTATATGTGACACGGCACCAGAGTTAAGTTAGGGTTTTTCAAAATGCTGACACGCCGAGCTCAAAAGGTTCGCCATCACTGGCTTATGCTTTAGGAGGCCATTTCTCAAAATCATTATATCGATTCTTGCCTTTCCCCCCCTTTTTTTTCTTGAAGTTGTGCTCCCCTAAAATGTTTTAAGCACTTAATTTTGCTTTTATATTGTTAATTGTTTTTTATTAAATCAAACCATTAATAAAACATTTTGCTAACCTGGAATTAATATGTTTTATCGAAATCAGACACTGGCGCTGCGTGGTGACGGCTGTTTGAACTTCCATGGACACCTCCTTCCCTCTCCCCAGCGATGTCCTGCAGGACTCCTGGGCCAGGCAGCCTGCCAGGAGTTCTCAGCTTGAGGGCGGAGCGTGGAGAAGGGGGCTGTCGGAGCAGGCCTGGGCCATCAGCAGGAGGCACTGGGTGAGGGGGAGTGGCAGGGCACCCAGCCAAAGGGAGGTGCCATGAGGGAGCAGGGCTGGAGGCAGTGGCGGCTGGTTCCCCTCCCTCCAGAGGGGCTCCAGTGCAGACTCAACAGGAGCTGAAGTCCTGAGCCTGGCGTGATGGAGTTTTTCAGCTGGCATCATTACTGTCAAAAGGCAAATGAGGCTCCACTTATTCCCTCACAGTCAGCTCAGCTGCCGAAACAAAATACTATTCACGGGCCTGAACGTCAGATGCTTATTTCTCACAGTTCTGGAGGTGGCATCCAAGGCCAGGGCCTGAGCACGACAGGGGAGGGATCACTTCCTGCCGGCAGCCAGTCACCTTCTCAGTGTGTCCACACACAGCAGAGGGAGCTCTGGTCGCTCCCTCTTCTCCTTACATTAACTCCTCCATGAGGGCCACCCTTAGGATCTTTGCTGGGCTCTGGGGAATATGAAGATGAACTAGTTAAGTGTGTGCATTGCAGTGTGGTTCTAGTCTAAGGTCCCTCTTAAAAACACTAATTTACTAATTTACTGAGTTATCATGATCATCATCAGCAGCAGCAGCAGCCAACCTTTATTAAGAGACCATTGTGTACCTGCCATTGACCTAGACATTTTCCAGTGTTAACTCACCTAAGCATCAAAACAAAATGCACGGTTGATACTCACATTTTCTAGAAGAGACTCATGTGGCAAGAAAGTGGTAAAATCTAAATTTGAGCCCAGGTGCATGTGACTCCAAGGCCAGACCCAGATCCAGGGGGAGAGTGAGTCCCTCTGTCCCTGAGGCCGTGAAATCCTGCCATCCGTTGCATTGGTTCTGAAAGGGTCACGGGCCTGCCCTACACCAGTCCCTGTGCAGGGAGATGCAATGCACTGATTGGCTGGACTTGAGTGGCATGGCCACCCTGGGAGCCAGGGGTAGAGCTTACACTAAGCAAAATGCCTTGCCCTGTGCTGCTACATTGGGGGCCTTGCCCTGTGCTGCTATATTGGGGGGCCTTGCCCTGTGCTCCTATATTGGGGGGCCTTGCCCTGTGCTGCTGCATTGGGGGCCTTGCCCTGTGCTGCATTGGGGGGCCTTGTCCTGTGCTGCACTGGGGGCCTTGCCCTGTGCTCCTATATTGGGGAGCCTTGTCCTGTGCTGCTGCATTGGGGGCCTTGCCCTGTGCTCCTATATTGGGGGGCCTTGCCCTGTGCTGCATTGGGGGCCTTGCCCTGTGCTGCCGCATTGGGGGCCTTGGGAGAAGAAGGGCTCTGACAGTTAGAGAGGCCATCCTTGCTGCAGCCTCCGGGTCCGATCCAGTGTGTGGCCACGTGGACAGGGGAGGGTGGCTTCCAGCCGCTGTGCTAGTCCATCCTTATAGCTCCACGGAGCAGAATGGGCCGCGTTTTGGAGTCAGACCGAACTGGGTCCCAACTCTGCCTGTTTCGGTTAGTCACTACGTGCGTGACTTTGGGCACGTTATCTCTCTGAGCTTCAGCTTCTCATCTGCAAAATGGAAACAATAGCAGGTCCCTGCAAAGCCCCGTAAGGCGGCAGTGGTTCTGCATGTATGACCCCCGCATGTAGCAACTGCTATTTGCAAACGTCCTTCGCCCCCGGCGTTAGGAGTGCTCTCTACAAAACCACACGAAGGCCCAGCTTTCAGCCTCGGGATTCGGGCGTGGGATGTAAAACTGAGACCTTAACTCTGGAGTTGGTGGACACTGTGGGCCAGGTCCCCTGAAGGCAGCTGGGAGCCAGAGTAGACTCAGCCCAGATCCTTCTGATGGGCTCACTTGTCCCAGGGCTCAGCGGCCCAGACCTGTCTGTGGGTGGCCCATTGGTGCCTCCCTGTGCTGTCCAGTTTCTGACTAACCTCACCCAGCCCCTACCTTATTGATCTCATCCTCCAGCTCTGTCTCCTCTCCCAGGCCCTGCCCAACCTCAACCTCTCCCACTGCCCTGGGGTCAGAGTCGTTCTGAGAGCTCGGATGCTCCCACGTGGCCCCCAAAGGCAGACCTTTTCCCTGGTGCTGTGTGTGGAAAGGCAGCGGGTCACACCAGCATTCATTTGTGCGCCCACTCGCTCATACTGTCTATGGGGGCCTGCTCTGTGCCCGGCATCCTCTAAGCCTGTGTCAACCCTGCGGAGCCAGTGCAGTTCCCATCTGCAGTCGAGAAACATTCTGCGTGTGAGGGAGGGGAGCTGGTGAGAGCCCCGTGAGGACCCCTTCTAGGCCTGGCTTCCCTGCGCTGCAGCCACTGTGGTGGGCAGGTCAGAGGGCACTGGGAGACTCAGAGGGAGAGCCCCTCCCTGCGAGTGTCAGCGGTGCCTAGACCAGAAGGCTGCCTGTCCAGAGCGCAGCAGGTATTCCCCCGCGGCTGCAGGGGCTGTGGGCTGGCGGCACAGCCCGTGGGCCCAGGACCAGGAGGACCTAGTGTGCCCTCCTAAGGGGCTTGCATTTTGTTTGATAAATGGTTCTGGTGACGGAAAAAAATAATTTGAAAATCACTGTAGTGAAAGATTGGGAGCACGATGAATTCTAAGCAGGGAAGTGACATGATTACATTTGCATTTTAAAAAGAGACAAAGACAATTTGGTATAAAAATAAATCTTGTAAATCACATCATTGCAGCAGAACAGCCTTCCCCTGGGCGCCTCCCCTGTAGCCGTTTCACGTGCGGAGAGGAGCCGGTGTGAACACTGCCAGGCTGCATCCTGCTCTCTCACCCGATGGCCCGTGTCTTCGGCAGCCGCCTGGTGACCGTTTGGGACAGCTCTGAGTGACCCTCAGGGCCGGATCCCACTCGCTGGCTGGTAAGAATGCTGGGCATCACCTAGAGGTGCCATTGAAGTGGTAACTGCCATTGTGATTCCAGTTTCTGATCTTCCCTCTTAATCAATGACATAGAAACCCATGCTGCTGCTGGAGCTGTCTCAGTGCACGCGGACGTCTCCTCTTGCACATGTTCCTGGCAATGAGATGCTGGGTTAAAGGTCATAAACACTTACAAAAAGTTTAATAGTTTTCAGTTCACAGCAATGGAAGGAAGGTACAGAGAGTTCCCAAATACCGCCTATGCCCCTCCCCCAGGCTCCCCAGTTTCAGCATCCCCCGCAGAGTGGTACATTTGTTACTATGATGGGTCTACACAGACACACCATAATCACCCTAAGACCATAGTTTACTGTCGGGTTCCCTGTTGCTGTTGCATGTTCTATGGGTTTGGACAAGTTTATAATGGCAGCTATCTGGATCCTACAGAGTAGTTTCACGGCCCTGAAAGTCCTCTATGCCCCTCCTATCCGTCCCTCCTCCTCCCACAACCCCTGGTAACCACTGATCTTCTCACATCTGTATGGTTTTGCCCTTTCCAGAATGTCATATAGTTGGAACCCTGCGGTACTGAGTCTTTTCAGATGGGCTGCTTTTACTTGTTCATATGCATTTACTGTCCTGCATGTCTTTTCATGGCTGGTAGCTCATTTCCTCTTAGCTGGATGGACAGTTTATTTATCCCTCCCCCTGAAGGACATCTTTGCTTCAGGTTTTGGCAATTGTGAATAAAGTGCTCTGCACATCTACATGCAGGTGTCTGTGTGAACAGATGTTGTTACCTCCCGAGGAGCATGATGCTGGATCGTACGGTAAGGGTCTGTTTCGTTTTGTAGAAACCGACACAGTGGTTTGCCCTGCTCATGTGCTGCAGCCTCAGGTCCGCTGAAGAGCGGCCTTGGTGGGGGCTCATCTGGCGCAGGTGGGGCTGTCAGAACCTCCCTTATTCATGGGGCAACTTCTGATCACCTGCTGTGGACAGAGTGTCACAGGCAAGAGCTCCCTGTAGGAGGAGGGGACAGTGCGCCGGGAGCACACATGCATAGAAATGCCAGAGGAATAAAAAGAATCAGCGTTTCAGCGCCAGGGCTTGCAGTGCCTTGGGGAGTGGTGTGGCGTCATGGCATGTGGGAGGGCTTGGTGACCACATCTTGTTTCTGTCACTTACAAGCGGTGTGACCTTGGCCCCAGTGGGCGACGTCCCTCCTTGGCATTGTGCTCATCTTGGCAGTGGCAGTACTAATGCCGCCCCCGCAGGATCTCTGTGAGTGCTGAGGACCCACTGGCATACAGAAGGGCTCACCAACGGGTGGTTCCTCTCTTCTCTCCCTTCTATTCCTGTCATGTGATTGGCCCAGCCTCTAGCATAGAAAAAGGTGTGCCCCGTGGGCACTCTGAAGGAGCTCCTTGCCCCGGGGGCCTCAGCTGGGTTTGTTTCTTTTTCATGTTTTTATTGATTTTTAGGGAGAGAGGAAGGGAGAGGGATAGAGAGATAGAGAGATAGAAACATTGACGAGAGAAACAGCATCCATCAGCTGCCTCCTGCACACACTCCTACTGGGGATCGAGTCCACAACCCGGGCATGTGCCCTGACCGGGAATAGAACTGGTGACCTCCTGGTTCCTGGATCGATGCTCAACTGCTAAGCCACGCCCGCCGGGCCCTCACCTGGGTTTGACTGCAGCAGACTTCTGTTCCGCCCAGAGTGCCGCAGAAGGCGACCTGCCTATGCCCCTTTCCTCAGCATCTTGTTCCCAGCGGGCAGCAACCAAAGCCGACTTCCACGCTGAAGATTTCATCCCAGCAAGTCTGATCGAGAAGATGACTGCTCATGGGAGCCAGGTCCCTGTCTCAGCGATGCGCCGCCACGGTCCCCTGCTGGGGAGAGGTGGCCAGGAGTTCCTGAGGGTGAGGCCTTGGCTTCCTTGGAAGGGGTGAGAGTGCTCCAGGGCACGCAGCCATCCCCTCTAAAGCCACCGCTGAGGGCTCATGTGCTCAGAGCCATGAGGAGGTACAAGCGAGGCCGGGAGAAAGGAAGCTCCAATGCCCCGTGGGCAAACAGAGGCTCCTGGAAGGAGGTGGATTGGAAATGATCCCAAAGGATGGGCAGGATTTAGTGGCCAGGCTGGGTATGGCAGGGCCTTTCTTCAACCTTAGGTTCATAGTCACTGTTCTGGGAGTGTTTCTCGTAGATGACATGTGGGACAACTGAAGTGCAAGGTTGGGGTGTGAGCCCAAAGCAAAGCCATTGGAAGACCCCAAGTTTGCACCGTCCAGAAAACTGTCTTCAGCACAGCAGATAGTGTGGTCCATGCATCTGGGCGCCCCTCTGGCCCGCTCTCTCCTCAGTCCTGAGCAACGGGAGCAGCATTTCAGGCCCCATGTTGTGGGCACAGAGTCTATAAAGAATAGGCTTTGCTCACTCTGAGACTCACGCCTGCTGGAGCCAGGCTCTGCGGGCCGTGGAAGTCCATGCGGCCTGCCCCAGGGAGTGCCCAGAGGCCTACACTGCGGTAACTGCCCAGAGACCAATGACAATAGCGGTTACTCCCAGGGAGGAGCGGGTGACTCCTATGCCCCTGGAGATAGAACTGGCAGCATGTGGGAGGGGCCCCAGGCTCCTCCAGGGCAGGGTACTTGGTGGCCTTTAGAGTTGGAAGCGGTTTCAAAAGGAAGCTCCGAAACTTGCACATTTCTCTGTACAAAGTCTCCTGAGACAGATAGAAATATTCTGTCGTTGTTTTTTGCCTTTGATGGAGACAGGCATCAGGAAGCCAAATGCCAAGGGAGGTCTGGCCTTTCCTTTCTGATGGGTCACTTAGCAGAGCTGTTAGTATCACCCAGCATGTGCGACCTGCAGGGGGTCATTTGAGAAGTCCTGCAGAACCCAGCCTTCACGTGCTCCCTGTCAAGAGGGGGTGGCATCCCTTTGGCAGGGGCAGGTGGGGACTGCCAGGCCATCAGCACACATCTGGGGGAGAGCGGCCACAGAGCCTGAGCCCGTGGGGAGTCCTGCAGGACCGAGGATCCCTGCCCACCTCTGCTCAGGCCTGGCTTGTGTCCGGGCTCACCGTGTCCCTCCCTGCCCTGGTAGAAGAATGAAAATGATCGGAAAGGAAGCCACCATCTTATGAGCAAAACCCTGAACAGGCCTGATTTCTTTTTCAGGGATCTTATCAGTTTCAAGGAAGTGGCTTTCCAAGTTCCCTAGGTTGGTTGGCTTGATGATGCCGTGTACCCCCTGCGGTGCAGAGGCAGGACCCCGAGGGCGGGCAGCCCAGAGCACATGGTGACCCTCCTTGTTGGAGTGAGTGTTAAACAAAGTCCTTCCTCCCATGATTGTAAAAGCAACCGTTACTTCCGACGATGCCCCCTGTAGATAGCTCAGCTACACTGTGGTGTACTGATTCCTCTATGTTCTGGGCATTCACAGGTGTATATGCGTATATATTTGAAATTAGGTTTATACCATATATGCAGTTTTCTGTATTTTCATAATCCCATCTTACTAACATTTTGAAACTATTTTAAGTCAACACATTGTGTAACCTAAATTTTTCTCAATACTCTGTTGTTTAGCATATAAATTGCTTTAAACATGGGGCTATTTTAAACAATACTAACGAGATTAGTCCTTTTTTACATTGGTCTTTAGCTGCACTCTGCTCTGTTCTGTAGGAATAGAAGCTCATGAACAGAATGGCAGGGCGGGAGATGTGAACATTTTGAACATTTGAACATGCTAAGACACCAGGCTGCAGCATCTCTGTACATTTCTCGGTCCCTCGCCTCGGTTGTAAGTGCCAGAGGGCCCTCTGAAGCCCAGATGCTCCGTACGCAGGCGCCGGTTATTTAGTTACCACTCCTCGTGGCTCCCTTCTCCATGATCGGATGGTGCTGCTGGCCTCTGGCTCCCTGATGACGAATCCTGCCAGTTCACCATCTTGCACTGGGAGACGTGGCAGCAGTCCGGTTTGAGATGCTGAATAACATACTCTGCCTGGAAGATTCACAGCTACATTAGCATGTCAATCCCAGAACTACCTGCTCACGGTTAGCTCAGTGTGTTCCAAGTCCCCCCACCATGGAGCCATTTCCCACATGACTAGGGGTTCTGATATGCTATTGAAACATCTTTTGTTGTTGAAATCATACTGAATGTATCTTGTGTTTTCCCCCACTTAGCACTATAACATCTGCATTCCCGGGTCATTGCAAACGCTTTGTAAATATCCTGTGTTAAACTGCCGGGTAATCCCTTTTAAGGCAGTCCTGCCTTTAGGGAGCCACTGAGCTCTGGGTCCTCCCAACCTGATCTTACAAATCTACACTGAGCAGGCTTGGTACTGATTGGATAGCACATTCTCTTAGGACAGATTCCCAGGGGTGGAGTCACAGGGTCAGAGGATATGAATTAGGAATTTCTTGACAAAAATCTGGAAATAATCCATTTGTTCCAACAGTTTTCAATACAGAGAGTGCTGCGTGGGCCGGGAGCCCCGACAGTCTGAGTCCAGTCTCCACCTTGCTGCCCCTTTAAGGGAGAAGGGGAGCTAGTGAGATGGTCCTAAGCACAGGGAGAGGAAGGGACCCTGAGAGGAAGGCCGGGAACAGCACCCCCGGGACCCGGAGCTCGGCCGCAGAAGGTTCCCTTGCAGAGCATGGAGATGTGACTTACATTTTTACGGCTTGAAGATGCCCTTGACCTTACATATATTCACCATGTTTCCAGACTTTACAGAAATGCTGTACTTGAGCGGGAAGACTCAGAAGCAAATAGACTCGTATTTTCATTCCTGACTCCCGCTGGGAACCTCGGCAGACTACTCAACCCTTCTGTGCCCCATTTTTTCAGCTGAAAAGACATAGTTACAGCTCTCTCCTACGGGAAATACTTAGAGGGTGTTTTACCTTTTTAAGAATTTTGTGGCTTTAAATATTTCAGTGTTCTCTCTCTCTCTCTCTCTCTCTCTCTCTAATTAAAAATAAAATTTATACTAAACAATTAAAAATGTAAGCAAGCCTATGAAATGCATATTTATTGTAATGAAGATGACTTTAATGCCTTAGGGTTTTGTTTTATTTTAGAAATATCACATCAAATACTTTAAAATAATTTACCTACTTGTTTTTGGCTTACTTGTTTTGTCATATCTCAAGCACATGCCTAGTCAGGCCATTGGTTATTTCCACATCAGAGCTCAATAAATATTGTTTGGATGATGGTGACGATGATGATGATGATAACAAGGTCTCTCCAAAGTTAAAAGAAGGAGGCTCAGGGTCCAGAAACAATCATGATTATATGAAGGCTGAAGGCTCTGCAGGCGGCGGAATTTATCTGTAGAGTTTATCTGTAGAGATTACTTATGAAACGCGGAACCAAACTGAAACGCCTGGTTTCTTCTGAGCAGGATGCACAGGTGCTTTCTTTCCCGGGTTCTTGTCCAGCTGGATTCCAAGAATGAAGCCACGGACAAACGGTGGTGTGTGGAAAGGTGGACATTTATTGGGAAACAAGCACAGACTCCCCATAGGGAGGGGGTCCCAAAGGGGGTGGCCCACTGAGCCCCTTTTCCTAAGGTTTATAAGGCGGCAGTTCTTTGTGTCCCAATACTCCCTTCTGATTGGTCCTATAGCAGCTTCAAAGCTCAAGCCCCAGGTGGGCCTCCTCTTTCTCTCCCCCTTCAGTGGTAGAATTCCCTGTCCCCTGTGAGCACCTGTCTTCCTCTTTCTCCCTTTTGTCTCTCTGCTCCCTATGGCGTTCCCTGTGTTTTGTGAACGGGTGTCTTCCTCTCCCCTTATCCTGTGGCGCCTTTTGTCCTTTGGGAATGTATGCCTTTTGGCAGCTCCAAGTCCCCAGCCAACTATGCCTCCCCCACCCCCCTCCTGGGCCCCCTAGTTCCTACAACTCCCTAAACCAGCCTATTTTACCCCTAAACACGCCTTTCACTTATCAACAGAAGGAGAGAGGAGCCTGAGAGAGGAGCTCTCAAAAGCCATAATTTGCCCCTGTTTTTGTGACCCTGCCTGGGCGTGAGAGAGACCGGACAGGACACAGTGTTTCTGCTGGGGCAGGACAGACGGGAACAGGATTTCCCCCCGAAACCCTTCTGGGAGGTTGTCAATTACCTGGAGCGAGATGCTGCTGCTGCGAGTCCAGGTGCACCACCCTCTGATGAGGACGGGAGTGGTCCCGGTGAAGATGCGGGGGAGCGGCCCACCAGAGACGCAACTGAAAACCTGGTGAGGTGCACACACCGGTTCTTAAGGATGTGGCTGGCTTGATGCAGGCCCAGCTTTGGATGACAGGCCACCGGCAAAATTCAGTCTCCTAACCTGGTGAACCGGTGAACTGAGGACAGAGCCTGGGCTGCCACATGGTGAGAAATACCAGGGGTTGGTCATTTTCCCTGCAGATGTTCGTGGCTCATCCTGCTTTAATGGTGATGTTAACCATTTGGACCATTGTTTTCTGTACCTGGGCCTTAACTTCTCCATCTGTAAAAGGAAGGGGTTGGACTTGGTGATATTGCAGTTGACTTTGATTGAAGCAATTAAAAAGGAACCCCTTACTGTGAGATTACCCAGAAGAGTCTGAATTCTAAAAATGTGTCCAGAATATTATCATGCTATTTTCATTTTCATAGCAACTGTATTCCAGGTGTTGTCTTAAAAAAGGAACCCTTCGATAAAAAAGAAAAAAGAAAAAAAAAGAAAACTGCTATCATATCGGAGGTGGAGAGAAATAGTTAAGTAAGAAGATCTGTTTAGCTCAGTGTTTCCTAAACTTGTTTGGCGAGCCTCTTCTTTCCTCCCTTTTCTCTTTTTGGAACATCTATTAAGGTGTTTTCACGGAATGGCTTGAAGCCCTTTGTTTAGATCTGTGTGCCTGTCTCTTCCAAACTGGCCTTCTTCTTGCTCCAGGTCACTCAGCAGCTTCCAGAATACGGTGTATTGGTTCACCGAGTTCTCCCAGAGAAGACAAGCTCGGAGGAGAGATGGCCTTGGGGATCTGGGCCAAGGGCCTCATAATATATGCAGTGCAAAACAGCAGCAGAATTGCAACTGTACGATTTCAGTGGAGAGAAATTGGGAAGATTTCAACTTATGTGAGTGCAGCTCAGCTGAAAAATGGCCAATGCTTCATTTTCCTTTGATCTGTTGCCTTTTTAAAGGAGCAATGGGTCACGTGATCTCTTGCCCAGATAAGCTCAGCCTGCCAGCTGCCCTGTGCTCAGATGCACTGTGGCACAGTGGGAGGGAGTGTACCAAGGGATCTGAGAGTGATCAGGAGGCCCTTCCTTCCTTCCTTCCTTCCTTCCTTCCTTCCTTCCTTCCTTCCTTCCTTCCTTCCTTCCTTCCTTTTTATTGATTTCTGAGAGGAAGGGAGAGAAGAGAGAGATAGAAACATCAATGATGAGAGAGAATCATTGAATGGCTGCCTCCTGCATGCCCTCCACTAGGGATCAAGCCTGCAACCTCCTGGTTCACAGGTCTAAGCTCAACCACTGAGCTACACCAGCTGGGCAGATGTTCAGAATTTTAATGACACATTATTTCAATTCAATTGAAGATTATTTGGAGACTTTTTATTATTGAATTAATTTAATACCATTGCATTACTCCCTATTTTGTTTACATAATACTTAATTGTTTCAAATTTTCAATGTAATTTGTTTTAACACAATTCTGTAAAAATGCAGATAACCTGAAAAGTAATTTTAAAAAATAGAATATTTTGAAATTATAAAGAACTCCCTAACTAATGCTATGTACTTGAGTTGGTTTAATTTTTACAGATGTTTATTTTACCCACAACCAAGGATAATTTCTTGGTTACAGCTGAATAGTCATCAGGTTCACAAGACAAACTGAGTAGCTTGAAAACGACATTGTCACAGTTGGGATTTCCATGCCCTCACGAGCACCCTCTTCCTCAGCATGGACGCCTTTTCCGCCAGCTGCCTGCCACAAACCAGGTGTCTTACACAGAAGACGACTTGAACTCTTCACGCTTCTGCAAGCACAGAATGGGGACTGTGAACAATGGAGCATGCACTCAGGAAGCTGGTTTGAAATTTGCTTCATTGATAGTGGAAGCCAAAATGTTTCAAACAATCACAGGTCGTTCATCTCGCCGGCCTGGGAAGTAGCAAAAGAAATAGAGAAAATTGCCCTCTTCAAAGACGATGACTTTGGGTGTGCTGGCAGCCTGTCTGTGACAGAGACAGCACCAGTGCAGAAGTTATTCATTCGAGAACATGTTCATCGTGTGGCGATGCTGGTAACTGACCTTGGTTAACAATAGCCGAAACGTCTGCACAGAAAAATACAGACTCTGTGGGCCTCTCTTGAAGAAAAATAATGCAAAAGTTCAAAATACAAACTATAACATGCAAGTGAGTATTCATTTAGAATGAGAAAGGAAATACCACAATGTGTACATTTTTTAAAAAAAACACTGAAAAAATACTGCAAAACCACAAAAGCCAAAAAATAATATTTTTATCAACTCCCTGGAAAACTCTACAATTCTTTTTTTCCTTTCAAATTTTTGTTGGCATACACTCTGATTTTTTACATGATGACGCTTTTATAATATTTCTCCAGAGAAAAAGAGATAATTAGTCGCTCTTCTAGCTTGGCTGATTGAGGGTTGCTTTTCTTCTAGCGTGGCTGATAAGACATGCAGCTTTGCCCGGAGGGTAGCTGCTCTCTGTAGAGCTGCCACAGGTTTCTGTGCTGGCGTCACTAGACATCCAATCAATGCAATGCACGTGGTTCCCGTCAGAGGGAAAGCGCTGTGTGGGGCACTGATGATGCAGCATATAAAACTGTAGGGGGTAACCCCTGACAGGACAGAGCTCCTACCTGACTCGGTGTTTTTAAGAACTAAACTACAGTTTTTCATTTCTGACAATTGATACGATTTCCTACAGACAGGCCTCTGGCTCTGTACATGTCCAGCCCAGTTCCCCTCCAGCACTGCCGGTGGCCCTGGTGCTGATACGGGAGGGCGGGGGAGGGGGGCAAGGTCGGTGACCTGTGGCTGCTGCCTGATACCTGATACCGTATTCAGAGACTTTGGGTGAGCTGGCCCAATCAATGGAAGGAGTATTCTGGATGGCTAGCAATGAATCACTGCAGCACAGACTGCAAACACATGAACAAATCCCACGAATCCACACTGCATTGTTCTCATCTCAGCTTCTCCTTGGTGGGCTCTGCTCCACACCACACACCCCTGAGGTGAGGAGCAGTGGGGATGAGCTGGGTGGAAGGAAGGGTCCGTAGTCTTCACTGATTGTGGTGAAAGCATATTATTTTCCACACTTTACAAGAAAACAGGAGGACTCTGCCAAGGCCCCTCCTGGGAAGTGGTCCACCCAGGTGAGGGCCCTGGAGCTCCAGCTTCGGAGCTGCCTGGCCAGTCGGCCTGGGCTGATCGTCATTGTTCTGCAAAGGGGTGTCAAAGCCACCAGAGTGTGAGCAAGCAGCACCGGCGGGACAACTATGGGGAAGAAGTACTTGAAATGATAAACCAGAGCTTGGAAACAAATATGCCGTCACAGAAGCACCGATATGTTTGTACTGCGACCACGGGTGTAAATAAATTCTCCAGGTTTCTGCTGAAAATCCCGAGGGCATGCTACACATCATCTTGTTTGTTGAGCAGCTAATCCATGGGAAAGTTTGCTTGTAGGTGTGATTTCTCATTAAATGATGTTATCAGATGGAAAAGAATCCAAAACACACAGCCAAGACTGTTGTCAGCTTTATGCCATTAAATGGCATCTGAATCCCATTCTCTGTGGTGTTTAATATGTTAGAGCAGCGATTTCCAACCTTTTTCATCACATGGCACACATAAATTAATTACTAAAACTCTGCAGCACACCAAAAAATAGGTACAATTTTGATTCATCCACACTGAATAGCTATTGTTGTATTGGCTGTTGTCATTTTTTTTTATTTGAAAATCTGAGGAAAAAGAGGTCAGTGTGCTGACTAAATAGTCATATTTTGCATATTTTAAAAATTCTTGCAACACACTGGGTAAAAATCGCTGCCCAGAGCATTGATGTCCAAAAGGAGAGTTTTGCTGAGAGTTTATGAAAGAAAGACCGAGGTGTGTGTATGTGTGTGAAAATGATTCTTCCTCTCTTTTCAGATTTGTTAAAGAATAGCTATTAGATTAAAAAAATACCATCTAACAATTTTTTAACACCTGAGTGAACTGAATGTAAAATTGTCAGGACTGTAGGGAAGCATATCAATACGTACTGAAAGCAGATGAATTGCAGGCAAATATTCCAGCTTGGAAAGTGAGGATAAAATGATCCACTGCTGGAGTTTAGGCATTATTACAATTTGAATACTAAAGAAGAATTCTCAAGGCTAGCAGGACAGCACCTGTAAATATTTGAGAAAATACATTATTTAAAAAATAGCAGACATAATATAGTTCAATTGGATTCAAAATCCATTCACATTAGTGAGGTTCAACATTATGCCTATCAATAAAAGGAAAGATATTTAGAGATTGCTTAATTATCTAAAATTAGGTTAATGGCAAAGCGGAGTTTCTCAGAGAAAATGTGATGGCCAGTGATCTGATTTGTGTGAATGGGATTCCTTAGAAATGGTGACTCATGAATAAAAGGATCAACATGAAAGAGGATTGGGAGTTTCAGGGAGCCCTTGGAAGCATAAACCTTACAATTATAAGGTTATCTTTATAGGAGCAACTCAAGGTTCTTATGGAAATATCTAGAATATAGATTTCATTTGGAAGCTACATATAAATTTATATTTAATGTCATCTCTATTACTTTGTATTTTATTATCCTTCTTAGAATTACAAGTTGCAAAAAGTTATGGATTTTTTCCATGAAGCTCCACATAGATAACCCCATACAGATAATCCTCTGCAGTGCATCCTGGTGAGCTGTGCCAAGGTTGTCACTTTGTATGTGGGCCTTGGAGGTATACATGCAGGAAGTGTTTCATGGTGATGGGGCCTGAATTCCTGCTGCATTCTAAGAGCTGCTGGTCTGTTCCCTCACCTGTAGAATAAGGACAATGTTAGGCTGTCCCTCATCGGGAGCCTTAAGGAGGAAGTAAATTAATACCCAGAAAGCACTTAGAATAGAACATGGCATATATTGTAAGAATTATGAGGACATATACAGTGCTTTTATCTTTTCTATCACCCTACTAGATTTTGTCTGCAACTTCTGGGAGTTTGTACAATGAACACGATGTATATTCAATGGCCTTCAAAACTTGCACTGAAGATCAGTCCTTGCTCTGGGCCAGTTACGTGCACCTGACTCACTTAATATTCTTTTCACCTAGCACACCTTGGCAGGTCACCTGATCAGCAAACATCTGATTCATGAATGATGAAAAAATCAAAGGAGGGATTTCTCTTAATCAGAAAGAAAACATTGAGCCGTAGTCAGATGACATGTGCCATACATTTCTTATGCCTAGAATCTTGACATTGAACTGAGGGCCAGCATTTGATTACTCTCTGGGCAGTCATGCTTTAATGGGTATGGATGGTCAATATATTAATGTCGGTGTTTGCTTCCTTCAGCGAAAGAAGTTCACCATCACAAGTAGCATCACTGGGATTTGGCCAAGACCTGTAAATATTTGCTGGGCCTCTGCTCTGCCCAGCATGGCTTTCATGCTCATATGAACACTCCCCAAGTTGCAACTGGTGAGTAGGCACCATGTTCTCAACCTGGAGAGATTTGGCTTTGAGTGCTGGATATCACATTTGCTGTTGATCTCTAATCATCATTTCTTCTGTGGTTATGAAAGGAACAATATGTTGTCCCAAAAGGCAGTACACTCTTTCTTAATTGCTGAACAATATTTCATTGTATATATAACCACATTTTCCTTTTCCATTCATCTGTTGATGGACACTTAGTTTGTTTCTATATCTTGGCTATTGTGAGTAATGCTACAGTGAACATGTGAGTGTAGATATCTCTTCAATAGCCTGTTTTCACTTCCTTCAAGTATATACCCAGAAGTAAAATTGCTGAATCATATGGTAGTTCTATTTATAATTTTTTGAGGAATCTTTATGCTCTTTTCCATGGTGACTCTACCAATTTACATTCCCACCAACAGTGCACAAAGCTTCCTTTTGTCCATATCCTCACAAGTTCTTATTATTTTCTGCCTTTTTGATGATAACCATTCTAACAGGTGTGAGATGGTATCTCATTGTGGTTTTGATTTGCATTTCCCTGATGATTAGAAAAGTTGAGCATTTTTTCATGTTCCTGTTGGACAGTTGTATGTATTCTTTAGAAAAACTTAAACAATTTTTCTTTGTCTTTTAAAAAATTTCTTTATATTAGAAACTCTCTCTACAGACACCATTTCCAATGATTGCATCTTCATCTGATGGCCCCATAGAGTCCTCGAACGCAGCATGTCCACAGTTGCCCTCATCCTCCCACATACATTTCCCCACCAGGATCTTTGTCTTGTTCAACTGAGACCACTCATCCACCTTGTAAGAAACTGGGAGGGTCTAAATATATATGCACCTTCTCTGCCCACCCATCTGCCACCAAGTGCTGGGAGTCATGCCCTCCAAAGACGTCTTGCTCTCAGCCTTCCAAGTGACAAAAGGACCGATCGATCATGTTCCTCCACACTGAACATTTGTCAGCGGCTCTCTGCTAGCTGTAAGGACAAGCCCAGACTTCTTAGGCTGGCATGCCAGACTTGGCATTGGCCCAGCCCTGACACAGCCCTCGCTGTGACTCCTTCACTCCACTTTCTAGCTGCGCTGCTTGCTGCTTGCAGACTGCTGAACACACAAGGACGGCTCGGGTCTGAGGCCTGTGTGCTCGCATGGCCTCTGCCCGCAGAGCTGTTCCTGCCCTCTCCCGACTCAGGTCACCACGGTACGCCCAGTTCTCCAACAATGAGTTCAAGGACAGCCTTGTCTAAAGTTCTGATTGACTGGCCTGTCCTCCCTTACAGGTGTTGCCCACTCCCTCTTTTGTGCAGACTCCATCTTTCCACCTGTTTCCTCTGCCCCTTATATTTGTGGACCTGTCTGCCTCCAGTCTGCAGGGCAGGGACAGTGGCCCACTGCCTGCACGGCTCCAGCATGGAGCAGAGCTATGCAAGTGGGAGGTGGTCATGCAGGGTTTTTTGAATGAGTGGATGACTTCTGAGTATGGAAATGTAATCATTTAATCACTTCCTTATTTTGATTTTAAGTTGCTTTTTATTCTTCAATATTCTAAGTAATATTGCAATAAACATCACTGAAAGACAATTTATTCTGTACCTTGCAATACCTTTAAGCTAGGTCTTGGAAGTGTAGTTATTGGGTACAAAGGCTGGGCATTTTTAAGACCTTTGCTGTTTCCTGGGTTCCCACGCCCAGTGTCACCCTGCCTGTTGCACTGCATCCTTGCAGAATGGATTTTATCATGTTTACCTTTGTCCATTGATAGGTAAAATGATTTCTCACTGATAATTTATTTGGCATTTCTTTGATTCTTTAGAAGTTGAATATTTCCCAAATGTTTCTTAGTTGTTCTTAGGTGAATTGTCTCAATGAGCATATTACTTTATAGTTAGTTACACTTGGTTCCCTGGGGAGAGAGAAAAGTCACCATGATTATACTAGTGCATAATTTCAGGAGTACATCACGAAGGCTCTGTCATCTGTCCGCACTGCAGAGCGGGGCCTTGGGCTCTCGCTCTCACAGCTGGTGGCTGTAAAATGCTGCGGCTCTTCCGAGGACTGCCCAGGATCTGGCCCTGGTTCCCTTTCCATTTTCTTCATGGCCCTTGACCCTGGTGACTCCTGTGCCCTTGAAACACTGTAACTAACCTGGATCCCAGCACTTGCCATGCAGGCCAGTTGGGACATTTGTCAGCTGCTTTCCTGGTGCCACACTCATGCTGTGGATCACCGATGGCGAGTAGGCAGAAACCACCCACTCTCCTTGGCATGCCGGTTGGTGGCTTTGGAACATTTTTGGCAACACTTCCTCCCATTCCTGAAGTTATCAACTCTTGGCTCTCTTACCTTCCAATCAATTCTTCCTCCACTGTTTGTCTAGCCAATCAAACTCCTAAGCTATGGCCTAGTAATGGTAACATGCTCCTGGCCAGCTCCACCGGCCTAGCTCTGTGCTGAGCGGCTGATGCTAACTGTGTGACATCTGGGCTCCAATTCCCTGACTCTCTGTGGCCTCTGTCCTCCCCAGAGCCCTGAGCTATCGGGCTTGTTGCTGGGGACAACCCTGCCTGGAGCCCACTGGGGCTCTCCAGCTACCTTCCATGAGACCCTGCCCCTAGGGGACAGCCCCTTTCTGTACCCTCAATCTCTGTGCAAAGGCTTCCTTCAAACCCACTAAACCTCGCTAGCTGAGACCCCGCCACCACCATCTCTCCCTAGTGTCTCCCTGTGGACATGAGTATCCATCAGGCTTAGCTAAGCTCACCGTCCCCTTGGACCTGTCGGAGGCTGGGCTGTGCACTGTTCTGTCTCTGCATATCCATTTCCTGGTGTGGGTCAGCTGACTTGAGTGAGAGTTAGCTCTGCCACCCACCAGTCCTGAGCTGGAGGAAATTATGAACTCTCTCTGACCTCACGCTTTCTCATCTATAAAATGGGTCTAATATGTCTACTCCACAGGGTCATTGTGAGGGTTAAATGGTACAACGCAGACACCGTGCTTGCACTGTGCCTGGCACATCAGCACAGGTGAGCGATTCTGTTGAGGTTACCATTGTGCTAAGTGTCTGAACAGGTCCCAGCTCTGGAGTGAGATACTATGCAGTTTGTGCAAGAGCTGCAGGTCACACCGGAATCGCTTCTCTTCCTGAGTTCGTTCTGGTTCACTCCATGTGAGTCATGGTACCAATGCCTCATAGGCATAGACAGTTTCCGAACAGCATTTTTTAAAGGCTGCCTGCTCCCGTAGGCAGAGGGCTGGCAATGAGCCAGAGGCCACTGGGGAAGGCGGGGTCTGTCTGAGGAATGAGGGCAAGGACCCCAGTGGAGGCTCTTTCCTTCTGGGCCTTAGCAGGGAGCAGGTGGCTGCAATACAGTCCTTCTTTTCCATTTTTCAAAATACAACTGGGCTTTGTATAAAGGCTAGTTAACTTACAGGATCTATCAAATCCCAGTTTCTTCTGAACAACATGAATAGTGAAGCGGTGAGAGTCTCCTTTCACTGTCTCAGGTTAGGACTTCATTTATTCCATGAGGGCGGAAGAGGTGGCAAAGCTGGGGGCTCAACACATCAGATATGTCTATATATTTTACAAAATCTGACTTTAATTTAGAGATTATTGTATTACCAGGGAACTAAGCTGTGTAGAGTGAAGACTATATTGCACAGGGCAGAGCCTAATTTGGGACCCATTGGTTACAGCAGTGTTTGTGAGGACAGCTTTGTGAAGGCAGCAAGCAGAATGGATGGTGGCAGTGGCGTTTACACAGGGCTTTGCTGGCCCGGTGACATGGCTCTGGTGCTGCCAGTTCCCACACATCAGACCTTGGGTCAGAGTCCTGTCGGCCACAGTGGGAAGGCGAGCGTCTCTTCTCACCCTTCCTGCATCTCCCAGGTTTCTCTCATCAGCGAGTGCTCATTAGGGAGACTTGGCATCTCTGGGCCAATAGCAAGAACTCCCCAAGATCATAGGAGGAAAACCAGCAGGAAAACCAGCAGGCCTGGGAGGAGTTGCTGCCACAAGAGCGATGGGGCCAGCGCCATTCTTGTGTTTATGTCTTTTTATCTTTTTCTGCCAAATTTCAGACTATGGTGGGTGTGAGCAAGTGGCCAATTTGAGTCTTGCCCATCTGGCCCAGGCTGAGCCTGTCACTTGGATTCAGAAAGTGCTCTGGTTGCATCCAGGCAGGAGGACCCTGCAGGAGGCCTGCTGGGCACGTCGCTGGACAGCTTCACTGTGGACACTGGCGAGGAGACGGGGGCCACCAGAAATCGGAGGCAGCTGGGCTGGACACCCCTGTTCCCTGGGCCCAAACCAACATGCACTCGGTGCTTCATAGCCACCTGGGCCTAAAGAAATTGTTTAAAGGATGTCAGATGTCCAAGGGAAGAATGCATTCACTGGGTAACTATCAAAGGTTCCCTGAAGGCTGAGATGGGGAAAGGGTGTGCTCAACACTACAGGGCAGACATCCCGTCTCCCCAGCATGTTGCTCTATCTTTTGGTAGAGAAAGAACTAGGTGACAATACAAAACTGAAGAGGACAAAATAAATAAGTTGCAATGAGCCAACTGGGTCTTATCATGAGCTGTTCTAAGCACTTGTATACACCAATAACCCTCACAACCCTCCACGGTAGTTTCCATTGTTCTACCGACTATGTGCGGAAGAAGCAGAGTTTGGTGTTTGAACCCACACAGCAGCCCCGTTGCCGTTACTCCTAACCTCTGCTCTAGGCCACTTTCTCTCTTAATGGATTACTTGTAATTTAATTTGCGAGTAAAAATAATGAGCTTATAAACACAACTTGACGTCATAACACAATGATTCATAAATTCAAAAATAGCCTAGAAATTGGATTACACCTACTTGGCAAACTATATAAATAGTGCAGATTCACAGGCAGCACATGACCGGCAAAGGTCGCTGAATGAGCTGTGCTTTTGGATGAGTTACACGCCTGCTTCAGCAAGAGGGTATGGACGTTTCATTTGAACTTTGACTCTTAAAGTAATTCTTAAAAATTATTGTCTTACATTCTGTTGATGCAAATATGAATCACCATGTACTGCAAACTAAGTCAGTAGTGAAGCAAAACTGTCCATGCATCTGTCGCTGACCCCCAAGCCACTCCAAGGCCCAGTGGCTGAAAACAAACCCCGCTTTGCTGCCCTGTCTCACCATTTTCTGGGTTAGAAAGCCAAGCATATCCAGGCTGGCTGAGCCTTCCGTTTCACGTGGTGGTGACTGGAGTCACCTGACTAGAGTTGGCAGGGCTGTCCGGAGGCTTCAGGACAGCTGTGCTCATGTGCCCGCTCCGTGGTGGGCAGGCTGGGACGGCAAGCTCCCCTCCCCCCTCTCCCTCCCCGCAGTCTCAGGCCTTCTCCACATAGGGCCTCCAGCACAGTAGTCAGGCTCCCACATGGCAGATCAGGGCTCCACGGGCCACTGTGAGGCTGCCAGTCTTCTTCAAGGCTGGAGTGGAGCTGGCACAGCGCCCCTCTGCCGTTCTCTTTTGAGCAAGTAGTCGCAGATCAATGCAGATTCAAGGGTTGCAGGAACAGACTCGGCCTCTTGATGTAGGAGTGTCAAAAAATTTGTGGCCATTTAAAAATATATATACATTTTATTGATTTTTTACAGAGAGGAAGGGAGAGGGATAGAGAGTTAGAAACATCGATGAGAGAGAAACATCAATCAGCTGCCTCCTGCACACCTCCTACTGGGGATGTGCCCACAACCAAGGTACATGTCCTCGACCGGAATCAAACCTGGGACCTTTCAGTCCGCAGGCCGACGCTCTATCCACTGAGCCAAACCAGTTAGGGCTGTGGCCATTTTTAATCTGTTATTCAAAGTAATAGTACTTTATAGCACTTCATAGTTTAAGAGTCTGAGGAAGCTATGACTGGCTCAAGGTCATCTCCAGGAGGTGTTGATTGCACAGTATCCTTCCTGAGGAAGGTGGGGCTTCTGATGACCTGCCAGTGGGCATGCGCAGTAGGGGCTTTGAGCAGGGCATGGCAGCCAGTCTTCTCAATAGAAAGCTGGATTAATGTCCTCGTAAACTCTGGTACTACTCTAATTCTAGTTTACAAATGCCAGGTTTTCACAACCCTTGCTAGCTCACTATAACCTCGCATGAAAAGGGGACTCTGGGGCCCTTGGCCATCTGGAGGGCCCCAGAGCACAGCCTGAGACAAAGAGCTGGTGCCTGTGGTTTTTGTGGAGACGATTCCAGGAAGTAGGAGTGAGCACAGAGAGTGAGGTGGGGAAGAAGGGAAGGTCAAAAACGGGTGGGGACTCAGCGTCATCAAAGTAGTGGTTGTGGGCATCAGGCTCCATTTCAATTAGAGTTCACAGAGGCCTCCAGAATTGTTCACCTAAAGGACAGAGGGTGGACACTGCTCCCACTCCCTGTGGGCGAAGGTGGTCTGGGAGGTATTAACTCTCCTTTACTTTGGGGCAAGGTGGGAGCAGTGGAGGTGGGGGGCACCCAAGATGTACAAGGAATTCTAGGACAGGAGGACCGAATTTGACACAAGATGTTGTCAGCACGAGCTAAGCCTGAGCTCAGTGGAACTGCCCACCGTCACTATGGTCGAAGTCCAGTGGGTCAAGGGCTGACATCCTCCAGCCCCGTTGATCTCTGTGACATGGATGGGACACAGCATTTGTGCGGTGGCTGGTATATAGATGGCTCGGCCATGGATCCCCTTCAGACAGAATTCTGGAGTGAGCCCAGTGTTTTGAAATCCATTACCAATACCTGCTCAGTTGTCTACTACTCTGTAATCTTTTAAAAAAAATATATTTTATTGATTTTTACAGAGAGGAAGGGAGAGGGATAGAGAGTTAGAAACATCGATGAGAGAGAAACATCCATCAGCTGCCTCCTGCACACCCCCTACTGGGGATGTGCCTGCAACCAAGGTACATGCCCTTGACCGGAATCGAACCTGGGACTCTTCAGTCCACAGGCCGACGCTCTAGCCACTGAGCCAAACTGGTCAGGACTGCTCTGTAATCTTGATCAAGTTATTTAACACATCTGTGCCTCAGTTTCCTCATTTCTCCAGTGACGATAAACCCTCTGGGTGACTGGGAATTAAATGGTGTTCTAAAAGAATGAACATGGGCTGACTCAGCAGTGAGTGTCCTAATATTGGTGCCCTTCTCCTTGTCTCTAGGGGAGAAGGTAGGAACACAGTCCCTCTAAAGGGGGATAGAATGGGGTTAAGGTCTAAGGCAGACACAGATACAGCAGTGTCATGGCTCCCTTAAGGGTGAGGTTATTTCCAAGCAAGGAGATTCGGGGAGGCATGGGGATGTGACATCAGTAGGATGAGAGGGAGGGAAGATGTGCAGGAATGCCATGAGCTAAGGCTCAAGTAGTCTTGCTAGAAAAATTAGTTGAGCGTCTGCTGTGTGCTTGTCCTGAGCTAGGTGCTGAGGAGTCATCAGCCATCAGAACAGACATAGTCCCTGCCCCATGGTGCTCTCAGAAGTGACAAAACAGGGCCTGTGTGGGCAGGTGCAGTTCGTGCTGTTGGTCTGGAGCCCAGGGCATGAGATGGAGTGGTCCAGAGCCAGGACAAGATGGGTGGGACCACATGCAGGCCTGTACATGGAAGAGGTGGGTTCCATACCCATGGCCATTCCTGAGCAGCTGTTCACTCAGCAACCCATAGAATGGGGGGCAGGGAGGAGGATGGAGGAACGTCGGTCTGCAGGCCATTAAGGCCCATGAAGTCATTTGGTCTGGCCCTGCCAAGGCTAGGGATGAGTTAATTAAATGTTTGACGAAATAGAGCAGGCTAATTTTTAAGTTGATAATTTTGTATGGCCCACAAAAATGATGTTATAAATATCCAAATGACCCTCGGCAGAAAAAAGGTTCCCCACCCCTGCCTTAGACTAAGGATACCAGGGGGTGCCAACCTGATATACAACCTCCACCCTGCCCTTCTCCACCAAGGAGCTGGCCACCTGCTTCTCATTGCCTTTGCTGTGAAGCTCTGGCAAAGGGGTGGCTGCTTGACATCACTGGCTCCCTTTAGAGCAGCACCCCTACCTCCTGCACCCCAACATCCATAAGCATCTATCTATTTGTTGGTTAAAAGTGAACCTCCAGATAGCACAACAGGCCTGTTCCCTCACTCTGGCACCCTGTGGAGGCTTTCAGTAAACGGCTTTTTTAAAAAAAAATATATTTTATTTTATTTTTTACAGAGAGGAAGGGAGAGGGATAGAGAGTCAGAAACATCAATGAGAGAGAAACATTGATCAGCTGCCTCCTGCACACCTCCCACTGGGGATGTGCCCGCAACCAAGGTACATGCCCTTGACCGGAATTGAACCTGGGACCCTTCAGTCTGCAGGCCAACGCTCTAGCCACTGAGCCAAACCAGTTAGGGCAGTAAATGGCTTTTTTAAGGTTTACATTTAAAAATTTTCTTTAACTGCAGTAAAATACATGTGACACAAAACGTACCATCTTAACCATTTAAATTTTTTTAAACTAAATTTATTAGGGTGATATTGGCTAATAGGAGCATGTAGGCCTCAAGTGTACATTTCTACAATATATTATCTGTATATTGCATTGTGTGTTTCCCACCCAAAGTCACATCTTTCATCACCACATATTTGACCCCTTCACCCATTACTACTTCTCCCCAATCCCTTTCCCCCTGGTAACCACCATACCGTTGTCTGTCTATGAGTTGTTCTTTGTCTTGTTTGTTCATTTGTTGCTTTCAGTTTTATATCTCACATGTGAGTAAATCATATGGTTCTTGACTTTTTCTGTCTGACTTATTTCGCTTATCATGATATTCTCAACAATATTATCCATGTTGTTGCAAATGGCAGTATTTCATCTTTTCTTATGGCTGAGTATTATATATGTAACGAGAGGCCCGGTGCATGAAATTCGTGCACGGGAAGGGGGTCCTCTCAGCTTGGCCTGCACCCTCTCCAATCTGGGACCCCTCAGGAACTTTGGCTCCTAACCGCTCACCTGCCTGCCAGCCTGATTCCCCTAACTGCTCTCCCCTGCCTGCCTGATCACCTCTAACCACCTCTGCCATGGCCCCTGTGGTTTTGTGTCTCCAATCTGGCCCCCAGCAGCCCCAGCACCACGATGGCAGGGCTTGGGGCTGCTGGGTGCTGGCCTCCCTGCGTGTTTGTGTCTCTGATCCAGCCCCCAGTAGCCCCACCACTGAGGTGGCGGGGCTTGGTGCTGCTGGGTGCAAGGTCCCCCTGTGGGTTTGTATTTCTGATCCTGCCCCTAGCAGCCCCACCACTGCAGTGGCTGGCCTTGGGTCTGCTGGGTGCCAGGGCTGCTGGGTGCCAGTCCTGCGGGTTTGTGTCTCTGATCCTCCCAGCAGCTCCAAGCACCATGGTGGCGGGGCTTGGGCCTGCTGGGTGCCGGGCTCCCTGCGTGTTTGTGTCTCCAATCAGGCCCCCAGCAGCCCCAGTGCCAGGGTGGTGGGCCTTGTGGCTGCTGGGTGCCGGCCTCCCGGTGTGTTTGTGTCTCTGATCCGGCCCCCAGCATCCCCAAGCACCGCCGGGCCGCTATGGCATCACCATCTTTGTTGGGTTAATTTGCGTACTCATCCTGATTGGCTGGTGGGCGTAGCAGAGTGACGACCATTTGAATATTTCTCTTTTATTAGTGTAGATGAGTGGCCAGATTATTATGACCACCTGACATTTATAGGCAAATTAGCTATAATTTCGCACTGAAGTTGCTAGAGGGTCAGACCATTATAAATAGGGAAGCAGGTTGTTTACCACAACAGTAGAAGTGATTTTTTTCTGAAGGTATGGGTAAACAACACAATTTAATAGCTTTTGAACGTGGGGTAATTTTTGGCGCTCGGAGCCATGGAGCGAGTACTAGCAAAGCAGCCAAAGGCCTGTTCGAACACCTTTGCTGTCTGCAGTTACCAAGAATGTACAGGAACACAAGGATTGGACAGTTGAGCATTGGAAAAAGTCATGTGGTCCAATGAATCACGTTTCCAGTTGCATCATGCAGATGGCAGAGTGAGAATTTGGCGGAAACAGCATGAAAGCATGGACCCCACATGCATGAGTACAACCCTTCAAGCTGGTGGGGGCAGTGCTGTGGTTTGGAGCATGTTTTTCTGGCATGATTTGGGCTCTTTAATTCGTGTGGAACAATGTCTGAATAGCACAACATACCTAAGTATCATTGCTGATCAGATTCATCCTGTCATGTTGATGGCATATCCCAATGGAGATGGCTTCTTCCAACAAGACAATGCGTCATGCCATGGTGCTCGTATTGTGCAGGAGTGGTTTTAAGAACATGAGGGAGACTTTACCTTGCTTAGGTGGCCCCCACAATCACTGGATCTCAATCCAATTGAGCATTTGTGGGATGAAGTTAAAAAAGCCATCAGGCAGCTGGTTCCACAACCATCAGATCTCACAAAACTGGACAGTGCTATTCATCAGGCATGGTGTCAGATTCCTCGCATCACCTTTCAACATCTCGTGGAGTCAATGTCAAGAAGAATCACCGCAGTATTGAAGGTAAAAGGTGGCCCAACAATGTACTGATGGGGTGGTCATAATAATCTGGCCACTCAAGATTATATATTTATATCTATATCTATATCTATATCTATATCTATATCTATATCTATCCATCCCACGTTCAAAGGCAGTTAAATTGCGTTGTTTACCCATATCTTCAGGAAAAAATCACTTCTACTGTTGTGGTAAACAACCTGCTTCCCTATTTATAATGGTCTGACCCTCTAGCAACTTCAGTACGAAATTATAGCTAATTTGCCTACAAATGTCTGGTGGTCATAATAATCTGGCCACTCAGTGTGTGTGTGTGTGTATATTGTCTGGTCATCCGTTCAACCAATCAAAGTGTAATATGCTAATGATATGCTAAGGCTCCTCAACGGCTCTCTGTGATGTGCACTGCCCACCAGGGGGCAGACACTCTGACCGGTAGGTTAGCTTGCTGCTGGGGTCCGGCAGATCAGGTCTGAATGAGATGGGCCAGACATGCCCTGGAGCCCTCCTATAATCCCTCCCCAGCTGGCCAACCTCCCATGTCCCTCTATGGCCCCAATTGTGCACTGGTGGGGTCCCTCAGCCAGGGCGGTGCTTTCTTGCAATCCGGGACCCCTCGGGGGATGTTGGAGAGCCAGTTTCAGCCTGATCCCACAGGCCAGGCCAAGGGACCCCACTGGTGCATGAATTTATGCAACAGGCCTCTAATATATATTTCTCACATATTCTTTATCCAATTGTCTATTGAAGAACACTTTGGTTGTCTCTGTGTCATGGCCACTATGAATAATGCTGCATGAACATAGAGGTGCATATATCTTTGTGAATAAATGTTTTAATACAAGAAGAGGAATTGGGGTAGATATCAAGAAGAGGAATTGTTGGGCCATATAGTCACTTTATTTTTAATTTTTTGAGAATCCTCCATACTGTTTCTCATAGTGTTTGTGCCAGTTACAGTCACCAACAGTGTGTGGCAGTCACATGGGAGGAAGACAGAGCTGCTCTCAGAGCTGAATGTGTGCAGCAAGCATACTGCCTTACTTGGTTAAGACTTGGCATGTTAGAGACTGACAAATAGAGTGAAGTTTGGTTTTTCAAGATGCTTTTATTCATCCTTAGGGGAGAGAGAGAGAGAGAGAGAGAGAGAGAGAGAGAGAGAGAGAGAGAAAGAGAGAGAGAGAGAGAATTGCCATAGCAAACAATAATATTATGATGTTTATTTGGGGCAGGTTTGGGGAGTGATGGAGGTAATAGTGGAAGGTTAACATCCCCTTTCCTCCCAGTTGCCTGGGACCACCGCTGCTTTTTGGTTGCATGACACTGTAACTTAACAGGCTGCCTGCAAATCCAGGCTCATGGGTGTCTCTCTCAAAGTCCAGGCTCAGTGTACGACGTCCCCTTAGTATAGAAATGATTCTCATCATGCCAGCCAGCATTTTCTAGGTGCCTCACCCTTTGAAAACCACACTCTCACTCTTGCACATGAATGCAACGCACCATCACAACATGGCTTTCCTGGTCTTGCAGCTGCCTGTGGACCAGAGAGGATGGGAGCTGGCAAAGCTGGACCCCTCAGCCATGTGCCTTTCATCCTGTGGTTGGAGCAGACTCAGGGCCTGCCCCAGCACTTCCACACAGCAGCCCAGCTCTGTCTGTTGGACTTCCCGACATGTCACAGTTCTTCCCACTGTGTTAGCTCTTCCCCCAACACTTTGCACAGGGGTAGGACTAGAAGGAGTAATAAAACTAGCCTTTTAAAAATCAAGAACCATAATGCAGCTGAGCGGGGATCAATTGTGCTGATCAGGAATGGACTGCTGTGTTAGAGGGTGTCACTGTATGGACAACCAGGCACCTCATTCTTGGCCTCTGGTTGGTCCTCACGCTGCAAATTGGCTCTTGACAACCACACAAGGAGGAAGAAGACCAGGCTGACTTTGGTGCAGAGAGCCAGATTCCAGTCCCAAGATTCAAGCCACTGTCTCAGATTAGAATTTAGACAATGAGTGTTTCACAATGCCTGTGGGTTAAATGACCTCTCACCGCAGGTCTGTCACTGGTAGGTAAAACTGCCTCATCACAGCTGAGGTCTCTTACACAGCTTCTCCCATTGGAGGAAGACCTTTCCATGGGGATGCTGGCTGGGTAACTGTGGGCAGAGTCTCGACAGCCATGAATTTCTACTTGGTTAGGCTGCTGTTGGGGCAGGCAGTGTAGACTGGAGGTTAGGGACAAGATAAAACATTCCCTCATGAGTGGCCATCACGGTCTAAAATAGATTGAGTTTTAATTACCTGTAGAAGTTCTCCTAGCTTGTATTTCCATTAGGTAGGACACAGGTTGTACAGCTCGACTTTTTAATCAGTCATAAGTCCTATCTTCACTTCTCATGGAGGGAGTAGAAGAAAATGAACAGATGCTTACAACATTGGCAGAAGGGTCAGTGATCTGTGAATGACTGTCCAGAAATAAGGCCTTACACAGTGGCCCTCCCATTATCTACTGAGTGCCTCTAGTTTGAATAACTTCAATAAAGTAAGTGAATTCAACATGTGAGTTTGGACACTTCTCTGGGTTCTAATGAGTCTGTATCAAAAGCAGCAGATCTACTTGTATGTTTCTATATCCAGATCTAAAGAAAATCTAACTTGTATACCTTCCTCCCACATACATTTGTGGAGCAGCTAATATTAACATATTGGCAATCAACGTATTTATTGAGGCTCTACCAGGTACCAAGCTGTAATTTCTCCTCATCTCTCTCTCCATATGTATATATAACCTCTAAGCCTCACCAACCCTATACAGTATCTGATATTATCACTAGTTTAGGTATAAGGGAATTGAGGTCTAGAATAAAGTACCTCCCCCAGGTTTTAACTTTTGATTCTCAATGTCATGTTCTTTCCTCTGTTCTGTGCCAGATCAAGGGTCAGACATGGGGTAAGTATAAGCCATGGCCCAGCCTTCATCCACAGGGAGCCCACCACATGGTTATTATCAAGTCCCCCAAGAGGACCCGATATTTTGACGTTTGGATCACACGGTGATTGTCCAGAAGAGGCCAGCGCTATCACCACTACACGCTGGTTGTGGGATCTTGCGAATGCTGCTTAATCTTTCTGACTCTGCCTTTTCATGATTGAACTGGGATAACAACTTCCTGCTGCAAATGATGAAAAACTGGAAAGGGGTGTGTGTGTGTGTGTGTGTGTGTGTGTGTGTGTGTGTTGCTCATCATACCTGGCACGTCAAGGGGAGCTGGCATTATTAACTCTCCGTGGCTCCCATATTTGCACAGTTGTGTCCCAAGGCTCTAAATCGCATCCAGCATCTTCCCTTCCTATATTCTAATGCATCATCCTCACAAGGTACTGACTCACATCATTCCCAGCAGATATAAAGGTCTTTCTGCCATTGGTGAAAACGCTGTGCTCCACACAGAGATGCCACCGAGATGTTAGCTTTTCCAAGCTGTTGACTTCTTTCTTGGCTTGTTTGTGCAGGTGTTGGTGGAAATACCCAAGCTAGGAGAAGAATAGCACAGCCAATTCTGGGGTCTTCTCTCCAGACAGCCTGAGCCCTGGGCACCAGAGCAGTTTTTCATCACACACACAAGACCAGAAGAGAAATATTGAAGAACTAGAAATGGCTGAAACTCAGAGCTTACTGTCCAGGTGGAGGCCTCAGCCATGTGCTCTCCCATTAAAGGTAACTATACTTGTGGTTCATTCTCTAGATTTTGAAGGAAAGAGAACAGTCTGTGGAGCCCATCAACCCTGGCCTCAAAGTCCCTTTTTGCTCTCTGTTTACTGTGTCAGGTGGAGGGAGGTTATTTAATTCCTCTGGCCCTCAGCTTTCTCATTTGCAAAAAGGAAATACATACCTGCACTGCATGGTTATTGAGAAGAATATAAAGGGGAAAGGCAAAGCCCCCAGCACAGTGCCTGGGCCACAGGCTCAGTGTTTCAGCATCCATTGTCCTCAGTCACAGATGCTTCCATGTGGTCTGAAGCTGTAAACTGAGTGTGAGGGTTCAGGGACCTCCTGGGAGGTACAGGCCAGGGTCAGCTACCATCTTTGCCCTGCCCCGGTCCATCTGGCATGAGCTACAAAATATTCTGCAGATGTTTGCTATGTGTGCTGAGTATGGAGGAGCTTAAGAGAGCTCAGGCTGGCTACTGCTAATGCTGGGTCTGGGGCCACTTAGTGAGAAGTATGGGACACATTGAGGCCAGATGCTGATTGTTTGAGAGATTTTAGGAAAGTTCACAGCTTGAGCCAAGATAGGCTGTTTGTATGGAAAAGCTACTGGGAAGGGCTTGGGTGGGCCCAAAAGTTGGGTTGGATGGTGTCTCAGGGAATCACCAGGGCAGGGCTAACAGTGTGAGTCAGATTGATGGAGACTCAGATATCATGCCCACCTGTCGGCTCTGTGGAGGGAGGGCTCAGCAAAGAAACAATGGTTTCTGCCAGCACTTCTGCCTGAGAGAAAGCTGCCCCTGCAGCCCTCTCCCTGGTGCCAGACAATTCAGTTTCTCCCGTATGTCCCTGTAACCTTTCCAGCATTTGCCCCAATGCTGGAGCTCAGAGTGAGTGAGTCTGAGTAAGTTTGTGTGTAGGCCTTTTAAGAGGAACACCTGGGACTCCATCTGCCTCCGTGTCACTCAGCCACAATCCCTGCTGGTTTTCATAGCCAGAAGTTATGGGGACTTCTCTTCTTGGCACTGGAACCCTGGGCTGGGGAGCCTGGTGTGGTGGGGCTGGGACCTCTCACTCCTCAGGATGGAACTCCACAGTCAAGATATCCTCCTGATTTATATCCACCACATGTGGGGGTGGGACCAGTCTGTTCCACTTCTTCACCCCTCCTACCAGTCTAGATGTGGCTTCTTCTTTATATCCTTAGCTATAGGACTTCTATTCAGCTACATTTCAGGTGGTTCTCAATGATGGCTGTTCTATAGTTTAGTTGTAATTCTGATGTGGTTGTGGCAGGTTCCTAGTACTGTGTTTACCTATGCCACCATCTTGACTGGAAGCTCTCAGCCTCATTTTTATCTTTTGTGGTTGAGGTAACGATGCACCTTCACAGAGCTGTAGAGGGAAAAGTGCCCAGGACTGGCTCACAGTAGGGTTCTAAGAATATTAGTTCTTTCCTAATCAGCCATCATGCTCACCTAGACAGTGTGTTGCATGAAGAGCCAGATGTGGAGTCAACAAAAGAATAATACTAACAGTGAACATTTATTGAGTACTTAACCATGGGTCAGGCAGGGTTCTGAGCACATGGATATCTATCTATATATATAAAAGCCTAAGCGACCATTACTGCTGAATGACCAGTCAACCGGTCACTATGATGTGCACTGACCACCAGGGGGCAGATGCTCAATATAGTAGGTTAGCTGTGGTCAGTGTGCTCCCACAGCTAACCTTTCGTGGCTGGCCAAATTCCCACGGTCCCTCTTCCTGGACTGAGCGAGGCGGCCCTAATCAGTTCCGATGGCCAGCCAGGCTGAGGGACCCCAGCCGTGCACGAATTTGTGCACTGGTCCTCTAGTCTCATATAAGGTTGATGATAAGCCTATGAGATAGTTACTCCTTTTATAGGTGGGGTACCTGAGGCACAGAGAGAAAAGGAACATGCTTATGGTCTCTCAGGGAGTAAATGGCAGAGCTGGGATTTGAATCTGAGAAGGAGACTTCAGAGCAGAAACTTTCACCCTGGGCCATACTTTGGAAGGCTCCTTTTGTAGGAAGTGTGGCATAGAAGGCTTCTGTTGAACTGAGAATTTTTTAGCTTATTTTATCCTGTTTAGTTTCCTATGTGTTAATTGTGTTTTCCAGCATGGTGGACTAACAAGCAGCTAACAAACCAAAGGGGGCAGATAGACAGAAAGCTAGTAGTATCTGCGGCCCCATATTCTGGGCAAAGTTTAGTAAAAGTCTCTTCCCCACTAGACAGTAGGTTGATATGGGCAGGTCTGTCTGATCACTGACATCTCCCTGGCTACTTGCACAGTGCCTGGCACATAATAAGTGTTGTTGCATGATTGGACAAATAAATAAACAATCCTACTTGGTTATTGTCACAATACCAAGCAAGTGCCTGGCACATGGTAGACAATTCTTAACTTCTGTCCGGGATTCATCCGCTGTAAAGTAGAAACCCAGTGCAGCTGCTCTTCCTGGGGACGATTGGAGGTCCTCCTGAGGTTTTCTTCTGCTCAAGAAGCTGCTGTGATCTGGTATCCAGCATGCCATCACTTTGCTGGTGTCATACATGAACCTACTGGATGACTTCAGTTCTCATAAGGATATTTGCATCTTGAGTAGAGACAGGAGGGGACTTACACTTGTTGAGTCCCTGCTATGTGCTGGGCATCATCCGCTGTCACAGTTAGAAGAGGAGCTCTCATTCCATTTCTGTGGACTGGGAACTAAGAACAGAGAGACCAAGGACTGGTCCAGGGTCATGTAGGGAGGAGCTGATAAAGCTGGGAACAAATCCCCTGTTGGCCCAACCCTGAAGCTAATGCCCCTTTTGGTGTCCAATGCTACCAGTTCCTGAGAGGTGAGAGCCAAGAGGGGCCATCTGCTTAGGCAGGGCAACTGACCTCATGCTGTTTTTATTTTTGTTTCTTTGGGTGCCGGTTCTTTTCCTCCATCACTTTCAGAAACCAATGCCAGTGGAATCTACTTTGTGGAACTGGTTAAAGAAGTTGGGTGCTAACTCTGAGGTTATGCTGGGCAAAAGGAGAGGGCAGCAGGGTGGGGCTGGAGAGAAACAAGCCAAAGGTGAGAGGGATAATCCATAGTCATGATAGAACCTGGTGCTCCCAGTCCCAAGCCCAGGATGAAGTTGGGTTGGCAAGACCTCTGTTCAGGATAGATACTTTGCATTTGGTTGGTGAACTCTTTCTGCGGACCCTGGAGGAGAGAGGAGACACCTGGGCAGGAATGATGTAACCCTACTGATCTAGGAATCTGTATAGATGTGTGTGTGTGCATACATGAAGTAACTATAAGAAAAAGATAGAGTTGGGTCTTTATCTAGGGACCTACAGGGATGTTCATGATCAACTATTAAGTTTAAAAAAGCAAGTTGCAGAATACCATGTAGTTTAATTCTACTTTTGTATCCACAAACCAAACACAAGCATACAGGACATGCCAGGCACCAGTCAGTGGGTGAGCCAGGTACCAGCCCATCGCCCTGTCCACCTATGTTGGTTATTGCTTGTGGAGAGACAGTGTGGTGCATCGATGAGACACCGATTTTCCAGCACCTGCCATGGGCCACTGCTGGGGCTGGGTACGGCTCAGCTCCCCCAAGCAACTGGTATCTTATGAGCACCTAACCTTACGCTCACGCATAACATGGGATTGGCAAGCCAGTGAATATATAAGATGGTGTCACATAGAGATGAGTAAGGGGAGACAGTGGCAGGCAAATGGGGCTCTTTAGAGGCGAGTTTCTCATTGTACTTTCAGGGTATTAGCACCGCGTGCTGTGTAGAGGGATCTACATGAAATCCATCCTTCCTGGAGGACCAGCTGCCAAGGAAGGGCCGGTCCTGCAGAGTGAGGCATGGAGCCGTGCTGGGCGCCGGGAGGGCTGCTGCTCCCACTGAGGCTCTGAGCAAATGACGGCTTCAGCAGTCCTGGCTCCCTTGCCTGGAAAAGGGATGAGTTAGCCTGGCCCACCACCCGATAGGTTCCTATCGCAGCCAGATGTCTATAGGGTCACATTGGGAACCATAAGGTGAGTTAAAAAGATAAGATTTAAAAAGGGGGAGAGATCAACCAAAGGACTTGTATGCATGCATATAAGCATAACCAATGTATACAGACACCAGGGGATGAGGGCATCAGTGGGGGGATGGGGGACAATGGGGGGATAAGGACACATTTGTAATATCTTAATCAATAAAGGAAAAAATAAAAAATAAAATAAACATGCTACTGTTTTGCCTTCATGGGAACAAACGGTGCTCCCCGTGAAGAACAGAGCGCTGGGTGAGGCCCGCCTGAGCGTCTGGGGGGCCTCTGCCGGGCCTCCTCTCTGCCCTTCCTGTGTCCACTCCCTGAGGAAGGGGGATTTACATTGTTCTCCAAAGGCCGCAGTGAAGTGAAAGGGAACTTAGCACCTTACTTCTTCTCCCCTAGAATTCCAGTGTCTTTGGCATCAACCAGGTCTCCCTGACCTTTTATGAAACAAAAAAATATATATCCTGGAGATAAATATTATTTTAAAAGGGACTTTTAAAAACTTTAAAAAACAGTTTGCCAGGGAACTGGGAGAAAGGATGAGGTTGCACAGAGATGGCTAACCTGTCCATCCAAGGAGTTCTCTGTCCTGGTCTGCAGGGCATTCAGAGCTCCTGGCCTGCGGGGTGTTCAGAGCGACGCTGGTACTCAGGCTTGGCTGCGCTCCCGCAGCGTGGCTTCCTGCCTCTCAAGGCGGCATGGCTGCACATGGGCAGGGACTCCCAGAGAGTCCTTCCTGCAGCCTCAGGACCCATGGGCATGGCATCTGTCTCCCCCCAGGTGACAGACTCCTGCAGGTAGACGGAAAAAGTCTAAGTGGCTTCGCCCACAAGCAGGCCGTGCAGTGCCTCAAGGGCTCTGGGCAGGTAAGGGCACCCTCACTCATTCCTGGGAGAGTCCCTTCCTTCCAGAGTTTCTGCACAACATTAGACACTGCAATTGCCCCTTGGTAGGAGGGGCAGGTAGGAAGCAAAACAAAACTTTCTTCTTCTTCTCTTGCTTCTTCCTTTAGCACAACTTTTCCACGTGGATGTGAAGGCCAGGAGGAAGCAGACCAATGTCCCCAAGCAGAACACTTACTGTCTATAAATAGCCTTGAACAACTTACTTGCCATTTGCCTAGATTCTGGCATCTCACAGCTGGACAGAGCTGATGGAGTGTGGCCACTGCCCCGCCTGGCTCTGGCTGCCTCTCGCCCTCTGCTCCAGCTCCCACTGACCAGTATTCCACCTGCTCCCAGGCCCTCTCCCTAACCTGCCTTTGCACATGCTGCACCCCGCCCAGTTCACACCATTCCCATCCTGCTGTGTGGTTACAAGCCACGTTGTCCTGAGATTCTGTCATTACAATGAGCCAGGAATTCAAGACTGAGCTGGAGGCACTCACCCACTAGGTGCTCTGTATATGGCGCAGTGCCCAGGCGGCATCTGGGTATTGCCACGTTGTGTTCCACCTTCTGCCCAAGGTGGCAGGCTTTGCTTGCCCCAGGGTCCTACACTGCAGGGCTAGCATCACTCTCCTGGGAACTGGGGAGCCAGCAGAGACAGAAAGGACTCCTGGGCCCCTTCTGGCAAATGCGGCTTCCTTTCCCAAAGCCATCTCCTGGTGACGGCGATTTACTTATATTGGCAGCCTCGGTTCACATATCTTGGGAACAGAATCATGACCTGTGCTAATTAACATGATTACAAAGGCACTAGGCCAGCCTAGCGGTGGTGATGACAGTAGGAACTGTCACTAGGATCGTGGGCTAAATGATACTGCAGAGGAAGAGTGTTAGTCGGGCCAAGGCCCCTGAATGAAGCTTGGCATTTCTGAAAAGCATCCAGCTGATATCTAGCCACTGGCCCTCAGCCACGCTTTGGGTAATAGGAGTTAGAATGTGTGGGGAAGAGAATGGAAATCGAACCAGAAGGAAGGGGGTCAGGTTGGCATGGGCTTGGTACACTGTGCTAGGGGTGGGACTTTAGCTGATAGGAAACAGACTCATTATCATTATGTTTTAAAATAGATTTTAGAGAGAAGCAGAGAGAGAGAAGGAGAGAGAGGGAGAGAGAAAGGGAAACATGGGTTTGTTGTTCCACTTATTTCTGCATTCACTGGTTGATTCTTGTATGTGCTCTGACCGGGGATCAAACCTGAAACCTTGGCGTATTAGGACAATGCTCTAGCCAGCTGAGCTATCCAGCTAGGTCTGCATTGGAGATTCTTAACCAAAGTGTTGCCTTTTCAATTTGTGTCTTTGATCAATCCCTGGGTAGCCACAGGAGAAGATAGGGTCCAGCAAGCCAAGGAGCTGGCCACAGTCCAGCTGGGCTTGGTGGCAGGAGAGGGAGTGGACAAGCTCTGAGGGGAAGCTTCTGATGGAGAACATTCAAGCCTTAGAAGCAAGATGGGAATTTGGAGGGCAGAGGGGAGAGCGGGACCACTGCAAGTGTGGCCCCTGGGAGATTAGAGGGACGGCTCCACGTTCTGGGGGAGCAAATGCACAGGGAGAAATGTTTTAGGCAAAACGAGGGGGAGGAAGTGAGGATGGGTGAGGGAATAAGGTGAACATGACCTTGAATACCCTGAAATAGAGGCACACACATTGCTTTCAGGAGCATTTGTCCAATAGGCAGTGGAAATATGGCTTTGGAGCCTATCAAATAAGCTGGCTTGGAGATTTTGATTTGAGATTCAAATGAAGCAGCTACTGAAAGTACCAGAAAATTAAAAAGCATTTTCAGGGTGAAGGGGGAGCCTCCCGGGTGCCATCTGAAGTATAAACCGAGTTTGTTCCCTACCCTAGATCGCAAGCCTGGTCTTAGGGAGAAGAGGCCCAGGACTGCACAGCAGTGTCCTTCTGTTAATAGCAGGACGGGCGTTGAATGCACGGCTGTTTCCTTGGCAACAGCCTTGCCTGGCAGGCCTGCAAGCTGTGTCTCGGTGACAGATGGTGA